TTCATTCTTTATAATTATTTTTTTATTAATTTTATTATATACAAATAAAATTATATATATCTAAATCTAGTTCAAGTATTGTGATTCATTAAAACTAAGTACTTTATAGTCTCAATCACAAACAATTAAATTAAAAAAAAATCATAAAATAATAAATAATAATAAGTTAATTAACAATAACAATATTAAACGTAAAATATTTAAATTTCTTGAAAAATAAAGTTTTAATTTTATAATCATCTTGAAACATTATCAAATAGTTTAAGCCATTTTTTTAATAATGAAATTGCTCTTCCAAAAACATCTTTTATTAATTTATTATGTTTATGTCCTAGCATCACATCTTTTAATATCTTTAGTTGCATTATCATTTCATTCATGATAATTGAGTAATTGCTAATACAAAAAAAAAAAATGACACGGATAATTAGATCAAACTCATCATAATTTATTCTTCTTTCTCTAGAAATTAGGGAGTATGAATTAATGGAAAGGGTTACCAATAGGAAAATTGATTAAGAGTACTAAGTATAAATTTAAAAATAATAATAAAAAATAAAACAAACGGGTCAACCCGTCAATCCGCGGGTTTACCCTAACCCAACCCGTGACCCGTACGGGTTGATAATATGGGTTATCTATGGGTTGCGGGTTGGGATATGTAAACTCTAATTCGTTTTTACTGGTTGGGTTAGGGTCGGGTAGATTTTTGCCAAGTCTATTTCTAACAATATATTATGAATTGTGGATTGTGATGAGAAGAACGGGATGTCACCTGAGCATAGTGAAAACAAAAGCAACACCAAAATCTTCCCCAATCTATTTGAAATTGTTAGGAGCAAGCTAAATTGAATTCAAATAAATTATGATAGCAGCTGAAAAATATGCATAACAGTAGAAATGGCAAAGGCAAACCAACCATCACAAGAGACAATATATTTACATGAAAAACCTAAAAAATGGATGAAAATCATGGGACATCCAGTCCATTGAAAATAGCTCTACTATAATAAAAGTGAGTACACAATATCATCTTTTAAAATGGCACAAAAAAAGCACCAAATAAGAGAAAGAACAAACCACAAAACTAACAAAGAAAATGGGACCACAAAGAGAGACAACCACAAAAATGAGCTATTGTTTAGGGCACAAAAATTGAACCTACAAAGCTCCAAACAAAAAATTGACCGTTCAAAATGTATATCAATGTCTTATCAACTTTCAGATAAAATTTCTGCTCAATCCGATGATAAACTTTGTGGATCAGACAAAGTTACAAAACTGTGCACTATACCATATATGCAGAATTCTCCCCTGCTTTCTTTCCCTTTCTGCCGACTGGTCCACTCACGGGCTCTCCACTTTCTGCTGTCCAAATCAAATCTCTTTTTTTGTCTTAAGGGACTGCAAAATATGGCTTCAAGTTGGCTTAACAAGTGTGGGCTTAGCCACAAATATTAGCCATTTCTTCACAAAGGAGGGATAGACTTAACCCAACAAATTGTGTGTCGTGAATCATGAATGGTTATATTATCATAAATCACGGAAATTGAGTATTTTGACTTTGAAAAGTAATGTGTGATTTTATGAGACATTTTAAAAGGTGTTAACTTTAAAGAATTGCAAGTTTGACTGTGTTAGATGGGTACTATTTATTAAGTTATTTAACTTATATTTTTAAGATTTTATCTCATTTTAAGTGATGAAGGATGAGTATTGAAATTTGTATGGAGATTATGATATTGTTACAATAATTAACAAAAATTTAGTTTATACCTCAATTTAAAGATTATTGACTTATAAGGGTACAACTTAATTAAGTTAAAAATTCTTGAGAAATTATAATAATTTGCAAGTTTCACAACCTTTCATTCTTATGGATGTGTGGTATTTACCATGTCTTAATCCGGAATAAACGCCATTCGTTCGCCAATAATTTCAACCGTACCTATTAAGTCGGTCCAACTTACGGGTCAGCCTGAATGGTACCAAAATAATTATAAAACACTAAAACTAAATGATTACAGAAATAACAGCAATTTGTTTCTGATTTCTCGCGTCCATATTAGAGATATTAATAAAGTTGACATGATTGAAGAATTACAGCCGGTTTCATTGCCTTTTCTTTTTTAATGAAAAAAAAAAAAAAAGACTTACAGCTGGTTTGCCTTTCACTTGGCACGGAAACCCCTAAGAATTAAGGGCATGTTTGGTACTCTCAACAATCTTAAGAACTACTAAGAAAGTTTAATCTAGAGAAAAGATATTTATGTTTGGTATTTTTTATTGCAGACTTTCCTAGGAAATTTTGCTTTCGTGGGAAGAAGAATCAAAAGGCCTAAGGTCGATCGGATACTTCTTCATGATTGAAAACAAGGGAAGAAAATTTTCCTGAGTTTGTGAGCATTTATAACCAATTATTTTAGTTTTGTAATTGATTATTTTAGTTTGTATAATTAATTACTTTAATTTTTTAATTAATTATATTTTCTTTTATATAATTGACTATATAATAATTACTTTAAATAACATAATCAATTATGTTCAAAATATATGCTCAAGAAAAATTTTTGTCAGAAGAACAAACAAACACAAAAAAGTTGTGTAATTTTCCCTTGATAACATAGTTTATCCAAAAAAATAATCTATCTTGCAAAACATTCTAGCATGAGAGGGTAAACAAACAGGCACTAAAAGAAATCAGTTGGCCTATTCACATCTCCTAGCATGAATATAGGGGAGATGAGAATTTATTCTCGTAATCCCCTTTTGCTTTCGGCCTTTGTCCAGAATGAGAAAGACACAAAGGCTGTGTTTAGGATCATTGTATATGTGATTGTGGTACTTTCATTGTTCTATAATAGTTTTTAAGATAATAAGGCCGTGTTTAAGATTGTTGTACATTTGTACTTATTATATGTAGTTGTAGAGAAAGATATATAATCACTCTCTCATACCTAATTAAACTAATAACTTATTGGTTCAAGTGGAAAGAACTCAGTTCCTCTTAAATAAAATTTTGAGTTCAAATCTTGTGAATAGAAAAACAAGTATTGGAAGAGCTTCCCCCCATATTAGGTCCCATCAAACTCAATTTCGGATTAATCAAAACCCAATGTGGTTTCTGAATACTTGAAGGTTAATACAAAAAAAAAAAAAAAACCTAATTAATTAACTTAATTTACTTATATATTATATTATTTGAATATAGTACATCTTACTTTAACTAAAATGAAATTTTTATTGAATTGATTAAGATTTTAGCAATTCCTTTACCTCAAAGAAAGACAGGGATTAACTAAAAAAAACTATAATATTATGGTACTTGTACACAAATTAGGTGGCAGTTACACTCCATTATTGTTTCTGATTGGCACAATCAAGGTTAGGTTAGGCTTCCCTCTCATTTTCCTACTTATTATTATTATTACTACTAAGGATTTGTTTAACATGTATCCTATAAATATAGTTTAATTAATTAAATATATTATTTTATCATAAATTTGTATTAAAAAAATAAAATCTAACATTTAATTTATTAATTATACAATTAAATTCACCATTTGACACTAATATTAAAATTAATATCATTTTTTACAATTTTTTATATATATTTATAATTAAAAAAATATTATTAACTCATGTAGAAAGGAAAAAAACCCTCTTAAGCCCCAAACTTACCCAAAATAGCATGTAAACCCCTAAATTAAAAACGAAGTAGATAAGTCTTTCAATTCCACTAACGAAACAAATAAACCCTTCTCATTCATAGTTGTTCATACTTTCAAAGTGATATTAAACGTGAAATACCGTTAGGCCCGTTTGTGAGAATGGTTTATTTGTATCATTAGTGAAGTTGAAGAGCTTATCTGCTTTGTTTATAGTTTAGGGGTTTAAATGTTATTTTGGGATTAATTTGGGGGCTTACGAAGAGTTTTTGCCTTAAGAAAACCCTATTCGGAACATTCCCCCACGTGAATTCACTCCCCCGCGTTTTCTCTCACCCTTCTTTTAGTCCTCCTAGCAGCTTTCCTTTCCCCACAAAAAATGGCAGCCAGCAAAACCATCACCATTGTCCTTATCGCCGCCATGTTCGCCTTAGCATGGGGGCAGGCACCGGCGCCCGAGCCGGCCGCATCTGCTTCTGAACCGTCTGCTTATGCGCCACCGGGTTCGGACTGCCACAGTAACTTGCTGAATGGGTCGTACTGCCTGTCGTACGTGAAAACTGGAAGCGACGCTACGAAGCCGGACAAGGCTTGCTGCCCGGAGCTAGCGGGGCTGTTGGAAAGCTCCCCTGCTTGTTTGTGTTTATTATTTGATAAGAACAAAACGGAGAGCTACGGGATCAGTATTGATAAGAGTAGGGCTCTCGAGCTTCCTTCTATTTGCGGCCTTAAAACCCCTCCCGTCAGTTTGTGCTCCGGTAATAATTTCTTCTCTTTAATTTTTCATGTTTTCTAAATTCCGGCATGATCCATTGATAAATTAAGGGTTCACAGTACCTTATTTAAATATGTTTTTTTTTAAAGCAAATTCAATTTTTGTTCATATTATTTACAGAGCAAATTCAATTTTTATTAATATTATTTGGAGTGTAGGGATACTTCAAATCCATTCCATTGCATACTACTTACTGCAAAAAATAAAACCTTCTGTTACAATATCTAATAAAGTTTTGTGCGCGTACAACTGCTTCTTGCCTTTTCGGAAAGTGAGAAGCTTGAGACACCTATATTTTTATCATTGTCCTTGCCACTATAACTTGTCCCCATGCAATCAGAAGGGAAAAGTAACCAATCTGACAATTAATGAGAAATAGCAGTTATCCCATCTCCCTTTAATCCGGTTAAAAGATCTCAGTTGACTCAGTTCAATAATCTTTCCTGTATCAATATGTTTTCCTTTGAAAATCTTCTCATTCCTAGCTTTCCACATCGTCCAAACCAAAGAAAACTAGACACAATACCATCCTACCTTCCCTTTCGCTTTTTACATCAAGCTACTGTGTTGCTCAAATACTTTCAAACAATGTTTTACGAACTGACCCATTGCTTGGCCCGTTTTGGGCACGGGATCTGGTTTAGTTGATTGAATCAGTTTAATCAATTGATTCAATTGGTTATACAAAAATGGATATTTTTAAATTTTTAAAAAGTAAGAAGTAAGATTTAATGTTAAAATATATAGTAATTATATAAATATTAGATCACTTTTTTTTTATAGTATATATATTAAATCACTAAACTCTATAATTTTTATTGTTAACATTTCAATTTTTTTAAATTATTCATAATTAAAAATTGAATGTAATAATTAGTAATTTATAAAAATTAAATAAAAATTTTAATTTAAATCATTTAACATCAAACAATTTTTATAAAAAATTAAAAAAAATAAAAAGAAAAGAACAATATCATTAAATCAAATTTCATTTAATATTTAAACACTTAAAATTTTGAATCTTATC